TGGACCCAGCAATACCACTCTTGGGAATATACCCAAGAGAGGCCTTATCATACAACAAAAGTATATGCTCTACTATGTTCATAGCAGCATTGTTTGTAATAGCCAGAACCTGGAAACAACCTAGATGCCCTTCAATTGAAGAATGGATGAAGAAAGTATGGAATATATACATATTAGAGTACTACTCAGCAGTAAAAAACAAGGACTTCTTGAATTTTGCAGGCAAATGGATGGAAATAGAAAACACTATCCTGAGTGATGTAAGCCAGACCCAAAAAGAGGAACATGGGATGTACTCACTCATATTTGGTTTCTAGCCATAAATAAAGGACATTGAGCCTATAATTAGTGATCTTAGGGTTTCTGTTTTTTATGTCACAGTATTCAGAGCTAATAAAAATGATGTTATAGTATAAAACAAATACATTAGTAATGTTTTCATCAATTTATACAGAATTTTAATAAAGCTCTTTATTAATTTATGCAATTTTTAAATTCATGCTTATATTTTTTTTAAAGAAGATTATGGAAGAGTGTGGTGCCCTTCCTATTCTTGCCTACATGATCATGGAAGGAAGGAAGTTTCTCAGGAAGTCAGATGAACTGGGGAGACATAGTCACCTGAGGAATCAGACATGAACCCAGTGTTCATAAATCTGGTGAGACCATGGTGTGGGATGTTCCTGAATATGCCAAACTTGTGGTACATCTGGGAACTGGACTTACCAAGATGTCTAGGCTCAGCAGGGCCTCCTGCGATTGCAAACCTAGACTCCCTTCTTTGCTCTGGAGAAATGCAAAGCTTACAGGTATGGTGTAGGAGGTCATGAACAGATCAAGAGACAGAACAGAGGGCTGGGAGTTGGAGAGAAACTCATTAGCTGAGTGATAGACCCAAATATCTATGAATGATGACATTTTTTTTAAATTTTGGAATTTAAAATGTGCCACCCAGGATATATGAAATTCTCTGAAGTTCAATCTGTTACATGGAATCTTTTTCAACAATTGTGGATATCATAGTTCTCCTGGGACAAAGTCAAATAAAGATGAATAAATCAAGAGAGGACCCTAAGGAGAAACCAAGTATGCATTTCTCTATTTGTGCAAATTGAGGTCATTCAAGTTGTGGACCTGAAAATTCCTGAACTGTGCATAGTGTTAACTTCAAAGCTATCCGAAGCAGCATTCTGCTTTCTGAAATGCTGAACAGGGAGAAACACTCTACCAAGTCACAGGAGGAAAGAGTTGAGAGGAAGAAGTATAGGCATAAAGGAGATAGGCCTTCATTTAGTACTTAACTGATGTCATAAAAATCTACTGTCCAAACTATAATACCTTGGGCTGTTGCTGTAGGGGTCGTGGGAATATCAGAAGCCCTCTAGCAAAGACTGGGAAGAAATCTGGAAGAGGGAACCATGAGCATGCTTAAGAGGAAAGCATGGTCTATATCCCTGGACTGTGTGTTCTTCTGGGATCTTTAGAGAACCTAAGAACATTCTGGATGGATAAGAGATATGTTTCTTCCAGTCTAGCAACATCTTTGCTGGCTTCTGTATTTTTAATGTTAAACTTAAGTAACTCTATATAATGGGGGGGACACAATGCTATTAAAAAAGAGAGTGAGTGTTATCCGAGATAACGTTCATCTTTCCACGTTTAGTGTCAGAAGTTTTTGTATGAGCCATATATATGCACATGTTGTTAACATGATGGTGTTTTTCATTCATTTTTCTAAAGGCCTGAATTTTGTTTATATATTTTAAACATTTTCTATGAGATTAAAAATTCTTTTATGACAATCTTTTAATTAAGTGTGTAACATTCTTTGGGGTAGGTGGTTCCTGTATGGTGTGTAACCAACCCAGATTCCATTGGCAATGACAGACCTGCGTGGCAGCTGTCTGAAGAGACTGTCCATCAAGGCAATGAGTAGTTGCCAAACTGGCAGAGAGAATGACATCATCTGTCCTGTAAGGGATGTACATGTTGAGGTAGGTTCATATCATTGCTTATTTCAGTGATGAAAAAACCCAGAGCCCAGAGATGACTCCAGGGTTTGTCATAGTGAAGTATTCATGTCCAGTGTGGGAAATTGTATCTAAAATGCACAGCTATTGGTATTATGAATATGAGGGACTCCAAACTAAAAAGGGGATTTATCTAGAGGTTCTTTTAACTCTTACCCGTGATAGTTAAAGCTTAATAACTTACTGGTCACTAAATTCCAAGTTGATTATTTGCTTGGGGTAAATCAAATATCCTCATTCTTGTAATCACTTCTGAATATTTATCTCTGTTTTAGTATTTAATTTTGTCTTTTAATTCTTTGATAATTCATTCATATATAAAATATATTTTGATTATACTAACTGCATCTCCCACTCCTTCCCCCAGCTCTTGTCTAACTACTACAGATCCATTCAGTACTCTTCCCCAACTTCATGTTCTGGCTTCTATCTATCTATCTATCTATCTATCTATCTATCTATCTATCTATCTATCTATCTATCATCTATCTATCTATCCATCTTTCTTTTATAATCTACTAACTCTAATTTGTACTGCTCATATACTCATGGGGTAGGAATATCCATTGGATCTTGGTCTACCCACCAAAGGCCATACCCTTAAAGAAACTTAATCTTCCTCCTCATCAATTGCAAATAGATTCTCAACTAGGGGTGTTGTTTCATGAGACCTCCCTCCCATGCTGGGGTGTTTACTGCACTGAGCTCCTGCAGGTCTTTGCAGGAACAGTGTAACTGCTATGAAATCACAGGTGAAGTTGTCCTGACAGTGTTTCACTCAGGTCCTCTCACAATATTTCTTCACTATCTTCTTGATTTTCCTGAGCCTTAGTGGTATGACATTAACATCCTACTTATGACTGAGGGTAACACAGATATCCATTCTCTGGGCTTTGACCCATTATGTTCTGGATAACTGTGTGGCTGGGTAACTGGGTAACCAAGTGTGAGTCGAAGGTCACACTCCCTTCCTGAAGAGAGTCAGGTCAGGAACTAAAAGGTAGGAACTAGAGCAGAGGCCTGTGGAGGAATGTTGATTTCTGACAAGCTAGTTCAGCCTGCTCTCTTATACAATTCAGGACCTCCTGCCTAGGGGCAGCACCTCCCACAGCAGGCTAGGCCCTTCCACACCAATCATTTATCAAGAAAATGTCCAACAGGCTTGGCTATAAGCCAGTCTTGAGGAGACATTTTTCTCAACTAAGATTTCCTCCTTTTAGACATGTATACATTTGTACCAAGCTGAAAAAAACCAACCAGCACATTAATAGTCTATCTCTTTGTGAAGGTGTGTGGGTTCGCATGCTTTGGAGTATCTGAAAGGTAAAATGAATGAAGGAAAACAGGCCATAATGACTATGAAAAACTCTTGTTTATTTGTTTTTGCATATGCAAGAACCTGTGGCAGGATACTGGAATCCTAGTGACTTGGAGCAGAAATGATGGAACAGAACAAGAGGAGACCTGTGTTTTAACCATGACTGTCTAGGTGACAAGTTCTGGATTTTATTGTACAATAGCATCCTGTTATCCAGGGAACCTCTCTCTATGTGCTTCCTTGGAAGCTCATGGTCACTAGGTAGATGACATCTATACCAACCCTTATCCATTTATAGGTCTTATCCCACAAAGGGAGGCAAAAGAATGGGCAAGATTCAGCAAATGTCTCCCAGAGACAATAATGGACTTAAAAGTAATTTAATGGGCAAAATGGAAAACATGCATTTCTTCCTATAGAGAATCACTTTTCACATGAATTCTGAGGAACTAGAGTACACCCAAGGCACCAAGACCTTTGCTTAATTCAGAGGGTATAGGAAACTTATCGTGACACATATTTTTAGGGTACAAATAGATTGTGTGGTTATATGGTCTCCAGACAAAAGAGACACAGAAATAGGCAGGAAGAGAGTGTTCAGGAGCTGGTGGTTGGCTTGTTGGGAGTCTGTATTTAGACTGTGTTATGCTTGCTTGGTCATCTACTGCAGTGGACCTGGATTGCCCATTACAAGGGATGCCACGGGAAGCTTGCTATATATCTTATCAGGGGCATCAATATTTCCCGGCTCAGAGATATTGGTAGAGCATGGTCCAGGGAGTATGGTACAGCCTGGCTCAGTAACCCTGGTATAACCAGACTCAGGGACCTTGAGGTATAGATGGGCTCTGAAACATCCAGGTAGCCAGGTTCATGGATATCAGTAGAGCATGGTCCAGGAATTTATAGAATAACCTGGGTCAGGGATATTGGTAGACCATGATGGTATGGGCTAGCCTATGGTCCCCTGGCATTTTACACAGAAAATCAGTTCTAAGAAAGTAGAATTTCATTTTGACAACTTCTTTTACAATGAAAGTCTCTGGCTTAACGTTTTCTTCCTTCCTTCATCCTTCATTCCTTCCTTCCCCTTTATTTCTTTCTCCTTCCTTCCTTCCTTCCTTCCTTCCTTCCTTCCTTCCTTCCTTCCTTCCTTCCTTCCTTCCTTTCTTTCTTCCTCATTCTCTCTTGTTTGTTTGCTTGCTTGCTTGTGTACTTTCTCTCTGGCTATGATATCACCTGGGTGTCTTTTGTGTCAACTCCTTGTGGTATGTTTGTTATGGACAATGGATTTCTTGGGGGGCAATAAATTAAAATAGTAGGAAGTTCTTTGGTTTCTGGGACCAGAAAGTCATGCTTCTTGGACAGGTGTCTAATCTTTAGCTTGATTAATTCTCTTGAAAATTGATGTGAAATGCAGGAGGAGTCAGGGATCAGCATTTCTGGTTCTTTCAGAGGACATGGAGGATGTAGAATGAGTGATTCATCTGAGTTCTTCCTGAGTAGAGGATCTGAGCCTAGGGAGCTAGTAAAATGGAAAATGTCTCCCTTTAGTCAGTAGGCAATTTTATCTGAATAGATTTGTAGATCTGTGAGAGTGGGAAATGCAAGAGGTCAGGAGGTGTAGCACGCCGCTCCCGCCAGCAGAAGAGACGACCACAACAGGATTCTTCTCAGAACACACTTTATTGGAGCACTTACACTTGAGGTTGTAAAGAGGCAAAAGACCCCATCCCCGTGACGCAGAAGAATATATACGGTGCCAGACAAAGCCCTGACGTGTCATCAACCCAATGGCTCAGGCCAGAATGGAGTGATCGTGCTTAAATTATGATTGGCCAGATTG